GACAAATAAAAGGGATAGAGAAAAAAGTGACTTTTGTTTCTTTTTTTTTTTATTTTGAGTTCCAAATTAATTTTAATTTGATATATAAATTATGTTTCAAATAAGAGTTAGTATAGTCTTTTTACAATTATTAGAGGAGGTAACTGATATTTCAAAAATTTTAGGGGACCAAGTGATATTAAGAGAAACTTCAAGGGAGGTTCCTGATGTTATCCCTATTCTTTATGAGCAAAGTAATATTCTATTCGATACTAGCAAAAAGGCAGCTCTAATCACCAAGTGTGTGTTATGCATAGTAAGAGTACACAATAATGATTCAAGATTTTCTGATTAGTTCTTGTACAAATATGACATCATTTTACTCAGTAGATTCTGGGTGTGTTTGGACAAACAAGATTTGAATTAAAATAATTCACTTCACAAATTTTAGTCACCTTTTTATCTTTTCAATCAACTTTTTATCTCACATTTATCAAATCACAAAAAGTGCTATCGTAATTATCTCAAATAAATTATCCAAATAAACTCAGAGCCTATCGCATTGAGTACAACCGATTTTGTGATGTGGCGGACAGGATATTTGCATGGAAACTTTTAAATTCTTGGCACAACTGTCATCACTAGCTTAAAAGGTAGACACAAGCATTATTGTTATCTTCTTTGGTGATTTACGGAGTAGAATCTTTCTCAAAGTGTAAAGAAAAAGCTCAGCTAATTCACTTTTTGTTTGGATTGCATTTTTTGAGCTAAAATAATTTTTTATTTATTTTATTTACTTATTTTTAGATGTATTTTAAATTATGCGTGAGATGTTACTGTAAACTCCACAAACAAAAATTTTTTTTTTTTGAAAAAATAGGTAATCCATATGGAACTTAAGGTTACAATTGTGTATTTTTCAAGTTGACATGCATTCATGCACTAAAAGCTTGTATTACTATCAGTAAGAGAAATGCAAGAATTCAGGCTTGGATTAGTTAATTAACAATAAGACTGGGGATGTGACCGCAGAACTTTATATGGGGTATTAACAAAGAAGGCATAAGATGATAAGACAGCAATAAGGCTAATGCATGTGAGTTTGTGACACTAACGCGTTCTTGAAGCAAGATAGTCAAGGCTGACCTGTGTGCTATAATGTTTTGTATTGCGTCTTCAAAAACACAAACCCCAAACTTCCCTTGTGGTTATTACTTGTCAACTAGCTACACTGGCCCTTCGGGTCGGGTCGGTTGGTGCTGGGGTAGCCTCATTAGGTCCTAGTACCGTATGATCGTGGTTCGATTCCTTCTACTGTCTTGTGTATCTTGAGAGACGGGTGCAAAAATACAGCCACCATATTGTGCAAAGCATCATGTAATAGAACGGAAAGCTAACAACTAAAAAGTGCAAAATATCAAATGTTTTATGAATATCAAGCTAACGGGAACGTCAAGGAATTGGGTAGAACTAATTAGATCTTACAATTATGCAAATTAGGATTTGGACAGGTTTGTCTTGTAGGACTGCCTTTTAGTTTAGCCAAACTCTATTAAGTGTGATATGTTGCTTTTGCATTTAGGGTTTTTCCATAATGGACCCTAAACATCATTTCAGGGACCATTTGATAAAGTTTATTGACAACGAATTTCATCTGCTATGAACTCACCATATACAGTTTGTAATCTCTTCAAGGATAAGAACAAGAAGCTTTTGCACATTTTTGTAAGACATGCTAGGAGGAGGCTTTATATCCAAGAATCTTCTCATGAATGAAGTATGGAACCAGTGAGGGGAAAGATGAAAGAAAAGAATGGAAAATAAAACTAGAGCTAAATGATGAATGGAGAAATGAATGAAGGAGAACTTACTTGCATTGGAAAATGAGTGACAGCATCCATCTTCCTTCCCATATCAATAACAACAACAACAACAACAACAACAACAAAATTGCCGTAAAATATACAACAAAAGATTGTTAGTGATAGTGGAAGGTGAGGGGGTGAAATTCTGTGCAATTTTAGCTTTTCAGTTGCTTGAAAAAACTTCGCTCTGTATATTCTTGGCAAATTAAGCAGATGACTTGCTGTAACAAACTCTTCCGAGTCCTCGGAGATGGATGGCAGCATATCCCGTCCGAAATTCCAAAGCATATTTCTGCTTATGCTTTGGAAATTTGAATTGAAATTCGTCTTCAGATAAAATTCTAACATAGTAGCAACAATATTGTCACGCAAAATTTTAAACCCACAAAAGTTATAAATCCCTGGATTCTGTGTTAAATTGCCACCAGCCTTGTCGGCCTAAAGAAATGGATACGAGATGAGAATGTGCCTGGCAAAACATCTTTAACGGGTCCAACCTAGCTCGACTCCAGATTAGTCGGGCCAAAATGACTACCACACACTGAAGATTATTTGAAAAAAAAGAGAAAAATAAAACATTCTTGATATTTTTTTTTTCAAATCTAGCAGGGGAGGGTGGGGCTTAAGAAACAGGAGGAAGTTGGGAGATTTGAGTTTAAAATCTCTAATATTTAGAATCTCAATTTTAACCATTAGATCAATACCTCATCGATCTTGAGAAATGCAATAATGGAGATACTGTACAATGTTAAATTGCAAATAAAAATATAATGGTGCAAGATTAAGTGCAACTCCAGCTCTCAGGTGACAAAAAATATATATAAAAAAAGAATTAATTTTTCCTATGCACAGTAAGTGTTAGATGAATGATAATTATCAAAATTTAAATTTAAACTCCAATTTTTGCACATGTGTCAGTGTAAATAAAATTACTGTAAAAGTGGTTGCAGCACATTTCAGAATGCCTATTTGCTCAGTAATTAATCACTGATCAGCCCATGCTTCATTACGTTATTGCTTCTGCACAAGCTTTGTAAAATCAGGATCCTACGTAGGATCGATTTTAGTTTTACAGAATCGGATCGTAAGATCGGATTGTGGAGTCGTAATATCTCACCAAAAGCTCCTAAATTTACTAAATTAATGAATTTAAAATTCATATACCATTTTGTACATACTAAAAGATATCAAATAAATAGGTTACTCATAAATATTTTATACCATGTTGTTCATTTCTTGTTTTGAGTTTTAACAGTCAGACAAGGAACCTTTACTTAATCTTAGAGGTGGCAATTTGTCCCAAGTTCCAATGGGCTACCCATGCCCAAAAGGACTTTGGGCGGGATGGGTACCATAATTTGATATTGGGTTTAAAATGGGATGCATCCCAATTGTACCCATTATTTGATGGGAAATGTTGAGAAATACTTGGGTACCCATTGGGCCCAAATATCTTCCCAAAAAATTTCATTTATCCAAAAATGCATCTTTGATTTTTTTTTTTGCAAAAATCTGATTTTTTTTCACTTCCATTTTCTTTCTTTTACTTTCTTCACTTTCCTACAAAAGAAAACTAGTTAAGTAAAAATGATTTCATTTAAACAACTTTAAAAAAATAAAGATAACAATAAAAATAAAATGAATTGGTAAAATTTTGGTGTCTACAAGAATCAACACTTTACTAACAATTGTTGGCACCCTTTATGTTGATTTTATGCTAATTGTTGAACTATCTACATAGATTTCTATATGCAACCCTGTTATCAATTTTTAATCAATTTCTTCGTTTTTGTGCTAGCTTTATTTAGCATTTAATGTGAATTTCTTTTGTATCAAATTTTGAAAATTTTAAGAATGCCATTAAGAATGAATTTGGTGTTAAAAAATCTTGTTTCTAGTCCTTGTGTCAGACAACATTATGGGTAAGGTTGGAATATGGCTGTATATCTATCTTTTCCTTTATTTGTTAATCCAATTTTTGGTTTAATCCAGGGAGAAGATATGTTCATTCTTACCAAAATGTTATATCTTTTAAAAGTAATTGTTGATCGTTCTAGAGTGTAAATGAATTCAGGAAAATATAAATTCACAATAAGATCAAAAGAAATTGAATAAATAAAAATATTAAAGTTATATAAAAAATAAAAAAGAATTAAAGGAAAAAAAATATAGAAAATAGATTTGGGTATTGGGCGGGATCAATCTAAACACATCCCAAAGTGATCCCGTCCAAATTAGTTCCAAAACACATATGGGTAAGTTTAACCCCAAACCCATATGATTCGATTTCATTTCGAACCCAAGCAAATCTCACCCATCCCGCCCATTTTGCCACCTCTACTTAATCTACTAATATTTTCTTTACAACCTTTCAGCTGAAAAGTTGTGTTTTTGTGCTGGCCTGTAGTAGAATGTAGAATAGATGATCATAGCAAAACTAGCTGTTATAGATATAGACGATGATCCATATGGCTTGCAATATTAAACTAACATTGTAAAAAGGGCAACAAATGAAGGCTAATATATAGTTGAGTATCATTGACCACTATACATCACTTGTATGCATCTCAAGTCAAGTTTGAAACAAGCAGACAATTCTAGTTCATATTGGTTTGCCGGCCATTTAATTTTCAGACTTACATTTTATTAATTCTCCATAATTTAATTCTAATATACTAAAATTAAGGAAGCAACCAATCAACACAACAGGGGGCTTGAAATACGTGTGCATGGGGGCCTCATAATCATTCATTCATTCATTCATGGGTTCAAAAGAAAAGATGAAAGAAAACTGCCGACGATCATCAATTTGCAGGCATGTGGTGTGGAGCAACAACTATGGAGGATTTGAGTAGAGAAATGCTTAGCCAAGCAAAAGGAATACTATAAGGCGATGAATAATCTTGGTCTTGGTCTTGGTCTTGGGGATCCATCTCACACAAAAAATAATTTGCAATGCGCGAAAGTGACTTAAGATCTAAATTCTAGAGTAATTCAGTTGGCTGGAAATCTTCAAACAATTAATGCGGAAACATATTTGTCTCAAGTCTGAGATATGTAGAAGGCAATCATAGGAAACTCGACTACCATAGACTACCATAGCCATATTTGAAGCACTGCTCAATTCAACCGATAGTAAAATAACCACATGTGACTTTAATTGAAGTACTGGTGCTGGAGCTTCAGTGTGGTGGCAGCAAGGAGATTGGAGAAGAACAGGTGTTGGAGCTTGAAGTTTTGAAGCTTGAAGGTGCCACAATCCAGCGGCAGCAAAGGAGATTTCATCTTGAAGCCGCACGAAATCTGGCTTGAAGCCTTGAAGCTGTAGCTTGTTGGTATTTGGTAGAAGCCACAGCGATTTTGTCTTGTTGGTAGGAGCTGCAGTGGTGGTGGTTTGATGGATAAATTAGGGCTTTGGGCAGCGATGGAGAAGAAGTGAAAAGTGAGATTAGCAAATGACAGAGAGGAGAAGACTAAAGATGAGAAGAATCGGAGCTTGTTTGACTTTTTGAGGCAAAAAGTGTTCAAACATTGCAATTAAAGACTGCAATTCTTTGATAAATTACAAATCTACCCCAAATGTTTTCATTTACTTGCAAAATGGAGTCTCGTATTTCACAAATTAGCAAAAAATTGTAGGATCGAAGTAGGATCGTAGAATCGACGATTCTATACGATCCTACAGATCCTACTCGATCTTATGCTGATTAATGCAATTTGTGACTCTGAATGCGATCCAGATCGATTTTGGTTATCCGGGGATCGCGATTTTGACAACACTGCTTCTACATTCATCTATCTGGGGAAGATTGGTGCTACCGCGCTAATGATATTAGTGGGATATTAATTGCTCCATTATGGGAGTGCTAAATTATTTTATTCTACAGTGGGGAACACCAATTTGTATCTAAAACAAGCCGTGTTTGGTTTTATAATGGAAGGTTAAGTTCATGTTAGGAAATTGGCTTAATTTCTTTTAGGTAGAATTCTTGTTTTGTGTAAAAGTATCTAGTTTTCTAATTGGTTTTAGTTACTCGAAGTAATAGTCAAGAAATATTCTATTTAGTTTAGAATTAGAAATTATTTCATATTCTGTACAAGTTTAGGAATTAGAATTGATTTTCTATTATTATTTGGATTTTTAACCAAATAACGTTTCTTATAAATAGGTGGATTGACATACTATACAAGAGACACAAGGGCACACAAGGGCAACATATAGCCTTATACATGGGGTGGTGAGAGAGGGTTCTTGAAAGATGAGAGATGATATACAAGGTTGGAATTGGGTTCAACTTGTATTCTTGTATAAGGTTTTCCTCTCATAATAAAGAACAGGTTTCTCTCCGTGGACGTAGGCTCAATGCTGGAGTTGAACCATGTTAAATATTGTGTGTTGTTTATCTTTCATACCGTGGCTTGTTCCTCATTAAATTGTTGTATACTTGATGTCTCAATAGTTATTTGCTCAGCGCTTGGATCCTAACAAGTGGTATCAGAGTTTCAGGTTGTGAGACTGGGCAATAAAGCAAAGTTCGTGGTTGGATCCTAGTTAACTATTAAGATCAAGTGGATTGGTAGCTGTTACTAATTGAATAATTTAATGAGTGGTATCCTTGTTTCAATGACTTGACAAAAAGTATTGATGGTGAAGGATGGGAAGTCGAAAAGCGTGAAGATACTTGACGGTGAATCTAGGCAGGTGATTCAAGGGTCAAGAAAAAGGTGAAGTTCAATATTGATTTTGGACGTGAATCGGTGGAGACTTTCTTACACCTCCAACGATTGATACTTCATCCCAGTGAATTTTAGATTTTGGTTATGTTATTTGGGTGGTGTGGCATGTGTCCCAAAGGAACAAAAAAAATCTAATTGTCATGCGCCATAAGACTTTGACAGTTATGAGTTTTTTGTTTTAGGTGGAGTTTTGGAAACCACACATGGCACGACAGTCCTGAAGATGGGAAGAAGTATGGTAATTTTACCACTTAATTGCCTCAATGGTTAAGGTTAGAACTCACAGAAGGAGATTCCGGATTGCAAGTGGTGGTGAGAAAAAATCATGCAAAGGAAGATGGTGAATTGGACACTTTCTCACGAGTCAACTGGAGGTTGGATTCGGGGTGATTACAGATGTTAATTTGCCGATTAAATCAATTTGGTGTCAGAACTGTATTGATTCAAGTGTGTAGTTCGGTACCATATTATTTGGTAGTTGAAAGCAAATGATTGTTAAAAGAAATTTTCGCCAACGTGGAGATTTGTTAGGAAATTGGTTTAATTTCTTTTAAGTAGAATTCTTGTTTTGTGTAGAAGTAACAATTTTTTTAATTGGTTTTAGTTACTTGAAATAATAACCAAGAAATATTTTATTTAGTTTAGAATTAGAAGTTATTTCCTATTCTGTACAAGTTTAAGAATTAAAATTGGTTTCCTATTATTATTTGGATTTTTGGCCAAATAATGTTCCCTATAAATAGGTGGGTTGGCATACTGCACAAAAGATAAAAGGGCACACAAGGGCGACATGTAGCCTTATACATGAGGCAGTGAGAGAGGGTTCTTAGGAGATGAGAAATGGTATACAAGAGTTGGGATTGGGTTCAAGTTGTATTCTTGCATAGGATTTTCCTCTCATAATAAAGAACAGGCTTCTCTCCATGGACGTCGGCTCAATGGTGGAGTTGAACCACGTTAAATATTGTGTGTTGTCTATCTTTCATACTTGTATCTTGTTTACCATTAAATTGCTGTGTAGTTGATATCTTAATAGTTGTTTGTTCAGCGCTTGGATCCTAACAGTTCATCCAGAAATTTTATATGTATTGGTTAATCCAATTCAAGTGACATAATAAGTTTTGCTGTTTTAATTGAGAATGGGAATTAGGTTAGAATTTCGCAGAATTCCACACTAATACGTTCCCAGTTTAAATGCAAACTTAAAGTTAATTTAAATGTTTGAGCAGTAAATTCTGAATTTAGTTGTCAGTTCCAATTCTGAAATTAGATCAGTTTGAATACAATTTTTAAGTTAATTTAAATGTTTGAGCAATAAATTCTAAAATTAAAGCAAGTTAAATTGGCAGGAAAAACTTCAAAATGTTTCGGGAATTCGTACTGGATGTTCTCCAATAAGGTTCAATGACCCTACTAACTCGGACTGGATTAATCACAAATTGGGTCCAACTGGTCAAGGAATGTGCCCTCTCACTGGGCCTAGTTCGTTGCAGTCAGAAGACTACTCTCTCCCTTTAGGTAAGCTATCTACATGTCTTTATATATGTATATATATATATATATATATATTCTACTTCTACTCCTACTCCTATTTTAGCTTATTTTAGGGAGAGGGGAGGACGACGAAGACTAAATCAATGTTGGATCAGACAGATACATTATGCACCCATATGTATTTAAGAGAAGCCACATATAGTGACACAATAATGGGAGGTAAGATTTGAACTCTTGATCTTTCACACTTCCAAGACTTAAAGTGTTTGATGATGGCCAAAAACTTTCTACATGTCTAACATGGAATTTTCTTGACATGGAGTAGAGTAGACGGTGACGATTGACAAAAAAAGAAGGGGAATTTCCTCAACCCACAAAAAAATTTTTTTAAAAAAAGAAAGGAAGGTGAAAGTTACTTCAAGAACTGAAATTTTCAAGAATGCTTACTAGCTTAGGTGCTAGAGCCTCATCTTTGCCCCCTGCAACAACAATTCTACAAACAAGCAATGTTGTTAGGTTGAAATTTAAAATTTTGTTTTTAATAATTGTTTTTGGTTTTGTTTTTTTACACCTGCCCATGGCCCTTAGATAAATAAAATTGTTTGGAATAATGGGATTAGAACTGCTTTTAACGCAGGGCTTGTCTAAGTTGTGGTTGGAACTTGGAAGCTTGCAACTAGGAATATTAAAAAAGAAGCATATTAATTCTAGCACTAATTAACAGTTACCATTTGTTCGAAGGCTTCGGACAAGCAGGATCGCACATCATGATAAAGCTAGCTATATATAAGAACTTGTCTTTAACACTAATTAATCCCAGTTAATTAATGATGATCAAGATTAGATGGGCTTTCTCTTCCTGTTAGAGTAGGGCAATATTAGTGGTATTGTTTGTTTAACTTTTTTTTTAAATTTTTAAAAGGTAGTTTACAATGTAAGTAACAATTGTATGATGCTCTTTGTTTTATGTATAATCCAATTCAGTCAATTTTCTTGCAGAATTTTAACTGTTAGAGTTGATTTTGCTTAGGTTAAATCGCAGGGTGACGTCCAAAAGACGGACCGCGGGACTTATCCCTGGGAGCTTGCGGCTATTCTTGGAAGGTGTATTTTGAAGTCACGTGGGATTAGGAGACATCTTGAGAGACCTCTTTGGCAACAAAGCAAGGAGAAAAAAAAATAAGGAAAGGGATTCCTTATAGAAACAAGCACTTTGTTAGCTAAAGAGAAGGCGGCGGCAAAGCTTTAAATAGGACAGTAATAGACTAGGAGTTGGTATCTTTGACCTTGGATGTTTAGTCTTTCTCTTCTTCTTCTTAACATGAGTTAGAGATTCGTGGTTTTTACTTTATCAACTAAATTCCATAAAATGCTTTCAATTGCATCAACGTTATGCGGCAAGGCTAGATTCTTTGTCTAGTTGAGGAATAATCAAGACCCGGTGCACGGACAATTGTTAGATCTTTTTAATTGTTCTACGCTAATTCAAATTCTGCGTTAGTGGGTATTTAATTATTCTTTGTTTTAATAGCCTATTCTTGTTTGGATTTATTGGATCAATGTGATCAGTTGTTCAATTGTCTGAATAATAAACTGCCAATTAGGATGAGGGTGCATATCACTTGATTGTCTTAAAATTAGTGACAAACGGCACAATTTCATTGCCTCGCAAGCAATCTAATCTGTGTCGTAGGAATAGTTAATCTAGTTTAAATGAACCCGTATGTGTGTTTGTTAACTAGAATTGGGTCTCTCTAATTCCTAACCTGTGAATAGATTAAATCCTTCGAGCGTCTCTGGAGTTATTTATTTTACAAGGGGGTGGTTTAAGAGCGTCTCTGGACCACCATATAATTAAGGAGAGATTGGTAGTTTGGCGGTTGCTGAATTACTAGAACCAATTTACTTACGAACGTGTGAATTAATTCAGGTATCTATAATCAATTATGTGGGCCAATGCCGAGATTATTTCCTTGACTAGGTTGTGTCAATTAATTGTTTATTATATTCTTTAGATATTGGACTTTCTTGCGATTGGAAATTCAGTACTCTTACCTCTTTATTTGTTCTTTTTGTCTTCCTTTCTAAACCCCGCCCCCCACATTCTCTGTGTGTGATAAATCTACCAGTTCCTTGAGAAGACGACCCTACTCACCACTATACTCGTTTAGTTTTGGGAGTAGGTTTTGATATAAATTTTATTTTTGGTAGTTTGACAGCCACCATGAACCATCCCTGTTAGATCCTCTTCCAGCCTCATCAAATTAGCATGTATAACCTCAGACACAGCATCTGGCCATGATGCATTCATCCAATCCTTCAAGCTCACATCTCCTGATAACATTTCATTAGTTGGCTTCCTTCTTGTGAAAGTTTCCATCAACATGATTTCAAAACTGTAGATATGACACTTCTTGGATATCAAACCTTCTGATCCATACTTTGCACCAAGTGAAACAGCTTATCAGAAAGATTACAATTATGTTGAGGGATATGAAACAAAATTAGAAGCAACTATTATCACCTGGTGCCATGTATCCTAGTGTTGCTAGTGTCTGAGTTTGGGCCATGCTCTCTCCCATCCCTAATAATTTTGCAGTGCCAAAATCACCCACATGTGCTACCATATTTTTGTCAAGTAAAACATTGCTTGGTTTCAGATCACAGTGAAGCACAGGGATTGAATAACCATCGTGCAGATAGTCTAATAGTGATGCCACATCAATCATTATGTCTAGTCTTTGCAAAAAATCCATGTACAAATCCTGATAGTACAACCACTTTTCAAGACTTCCATTAGACATATATTCAAGAATTAAAGCTTTGAAGTCAAGGCTGGAACAGCTGCTGATGACTTTGGTTAGATTTCTGTGACGAAGGTTACATAGTACTTCACATTCTATGTCAAAACTTCTAAATGCACCTTCTGTTTGTAAGTTGAACACCTTCACAGCTACATTTGATCCATTGATTAATGTCTTGTAAACAGAACCATAGGCTCCCATAAAATTCATTGAAATTGGTGCACACTGATGTTTGCTATATGAAAGATAAGTCTCTTGGTGGTGCTGTTTATTTTGTAACTTTTATTGATGACTTTGCTAGAAAGGTTTGGTGTTTTGCTTTGAAATCCAAAGATCAGCTTTTGGATGTATTTATGGATTTTCACAGCAAAGTTGAAAGAGAAACTGATAAACAGTTAAAGTGTGTACGTGCTGATAATAGTAGTGAGTATAGAGGACCATTTGAAATTTATTGTAAGTCCCGTGGGATCAGATTGGAGAAGACTATGCCAAAAACTCCTCAAGAGAATAGAGTAGCAGAGAGAATGCATAGATTCATCACTGAACGGGTCAGATGTATGCTCTCCAATACTAAGTTGCCAAAATCCTTTTGGGGGTGAAACAATGAGGACTGCGGTCAATTTGATTAATCTTTCTCCATCAGTTTCTCTAGATGGTGATATCCCAAAGAGAGTATGGACGGGAAAAAATATATCTTTTGAGCACTTGAGAGTTTTTGGTTATCGGGCATTTGTTCATATCCCCAAAGATGAAAGGTCAAAACTTGATGTAAAATCAAAATAGTGTATTTTCTTGGGTTATGGACATGAAGATTTTGGTTATATATTGTATGATCATATTGAGAAGAAGGTGATCAGGAGCAGAGATGTTGTTTTTTTTGAAAATCAAACCATTGAAAACATTGATAAAGGTGATAACTCAAAATCCTCAGATGACATTCCTACTAGCTCAAATTCAGATCCAGATCCAATTCTATTACCTGTTGATTCTAATCAAGGGGGAGCTGAGATAGAGTAGAGAGAAGATGTTTATGATGGTGATAATCCTACTGCTGATGAACCTGAGTATGAGGCATCACCTACTCCACCACCACCACCACAAGATGAGCTTAAGAGATCTACCAGAGAAAGGAGACATTCTAACAGATATAATCCTCATGAATATGTGTTATTGACAGATGGAGGAGAGCCAGAGTCCTATGATGAGGCTCTAGAGCATGAGAATAAAGAAGATTGGTTGCAAGCCATGCAAGAGGAGATGGTGTCCCTGCATGAGAATCACACTTATGAGCTAGTGAAACTGCCTAAGGGTAAGAGAGATTTGAAAAACAAATGGGTCTACAAGTTGAAGATTCAGGAGCACAGCCCACAAGTAAAGTACAAAGCAAGATTGATTGTGAAGGGATTTAGTCAAAAGAAGGGCGTAAACTTTGAAGAAATTTTTTCTCCTGTGATAAAAATATCATCAATTCGAGTTATTCTTGGTATTGTAGCCAGTTTGAATTTGGAGATCGAACAACTTGATGTGAAGATAGCCTTCCTGCATGGTAACTTGGAAAAGGAGATCCACATGGAACAATCGGAGGGGTTCAAAGAAAGTGGTAAGGAAAATCTTGTATGTCGTCTCAAGAAGAGTTTGTATGGGTTGAAACAGGCACCGAGATAGTGGTATAAGAAGTTTGACTCATTCATGACAGACCATGAGTACCATAGGACTACATCTGATCACTGTGTTTACGTGAAAATTTTTTCAGATGGTGATTTTATTATTCTCTTGTTATATGTTGATGACATGTTGATTGTTGGTCGTGATACTGTGAAAATTGATAGGTTAAAAAGAGAGTTAAGTAAATTTTTGTAATAAAGGATTTGGGTCCGGCTAGACAAATATTGGAATTGAAAATCTCACGAGACAGGCAAAATGGAAAGTTTTGATTGTCTCAAGAAAAATACATTGAGAAAGTGCTCAACATGTTTAACATGAGCAATCTAAGGAAATCTCAGCTCCACTTGCAGGTCACTTCAAACTGACTATCAAACAGTGTCCTACAAGTGAGAAAGATAAAAAAGACATGAAAAAGATTCCTTATGCTTCGGCTGTTGGTAGTTTGATGTATGCTATGGTTTGCACCAGGCCAGATATTGCTCATGCAATTGGAGTAGTCAGTCGGTATCTCTCTAATCCTGGTAAGGAGCATAGGAATGATGTCAAATGGATTCTCATGTATCTCAAGGGAACTCCTAGATTGGTCTATGTTTCAGCAATGGTAAAATTATGATAGATGGATACACTGATACAGATATGGCAGGTGATCTTGATAATAGGAAGTCCACATCTAGGTACTTGATGATTTTTACAGGGGAAGCAGTGTCATGGCAAAGTAAGTTACAGAAGTGTACCGTTCTTTCTAGTACGGAGGCTGAGTACATCGCAACCACTGAAACATGCAAAGAGACTCTTTGGTTGCAGAAATTCCTTCAAGAGTTGGGTATGAAACAAGAGAAATATAGTCTCTATTGTGATAGTGAGAGTGCTATTCATTTGTGTAAGAACTCAACATTTCACTCTCGGTCCAAACACATTGATGTGAGGTATCATTGGATTCGGGAAATTCTGGATTTCAAGTTGTTAACACTTGAGAAGGTACATACAAATAATAATAGTGCTGACATGTTGACCAAAGCATTGCCTAAAGAGAAACTCTTATTTTGCAGACAAGAAACAGGTCTTGTAGAGGCCCCCAAATGAGTTGGAGGGGGAGATTGTTGGACTTGTATGTGGGCCAGCCCATTTGTGCAAGTAAATAAAGCTTGAGGCTTTCTCAAGCTTAAATACATAGAGCAGCCGCATGAGGAGTTTTTTTTCTTCGATCCTTGCATGCGAGAAAAAGTCAGCCGCCATCTCTTTGCTAGTTGAGAGAGAAAATGAAGAGAGAGAAAAAGCTAGAGAGAGAGACTTCAAAGTCTTGATTGGAGCGTGATTCGGAACCTGATTGAGACGAAATTTTACCCATGTGATCCTCTCGTCAGGCTCTACTCATCTACCGGTTCAGATTTCATATTTTCTCTTCGTTTGGTAACACCTTTCCAAACTCACTTCTTTGACAGTTGTAGTTTTTGGGGGTGATTTTGTAGGAATTTTGCTTAGTTGGTATTGGTGATATTATTGTTATTCGAATATTTCGGGTAGACTTGTGTATTCTCATTATTGTGCTAGTGGAGACTTTTGACTGGACTAGGTCCCGTGGTTTTTTCCAATTTGGGTTTTCCGCGTAAAAATCTTGGTGTCCTGTGCCTTTTATTTTTCTTTCATTTTGTTATCAATGTTGGTATTATTACTTGGTGATTTGGTTTATTCCTATTTTAACTGGTACTTGGGGAAAGAGAAATTTGTCCTAAACTAACTCTGATATTGTGTGCCTGTACCGGTACCCCTTTCCTAACACCTTCGATATTTCCAGTGAAGAATTCGAGAAGTTGCCCCATTAATGGGGAAGGTATTTTTTTCAGCAAAATTGTTGCCTTTCTTGACTCTATTGTTATATTTCAAGTGAAAGATATCATGTCAATTTATGGATCATGGATGAATTAATATGAAGTGGATAGAACTTGGACTAAGTTAAAATCTCATTTGAAATTCCCGACATTTGGTGTTGAACATCGATCATATATATGCTCAAACCAAAGCAGGCAACTGCTTTTGCAGATTGATGGAGCAGAAAAGCTTGTGCTCTATGATCCTGGAATTGGATACATTAGAGACGTAGCCACTGCACATGGTGCAGCTAGTTTCATTAGAAGCCTTCTTGCATGTCTTCATGTTCCAATTTCCAACTTGTGTAGCACTAGTTTTACCTCTTCTGGTTGCCAATTCTCTGTTCTTAACCAAAAGCTCATTTCTCCAATTTCTTATTCAAACTTAATTTCAATTGAAGATGTCCATTTGTTGTGAGTGCAATCATCCTAATCCAGAACCCTCTATCAGTTAGAAGTTCAAGTTGCAAGCCATTTCACTTTATCCATTTGCCATCCTGCATAGGAATTAAATTCATGCTGAGTAAGTTCATACTTTTTTTTTTATATAGGAAAGATCATTTTATTCAAATAAATCTGCACTAATGGAAACAAAATACATCAAACAAACATGAAACGTAGACGTATGGATCTGAAATCAATAGATATAACTGATCTAAAAAAAATACAAATAAAGATAACATTGATACTCCTATATATCTTCGATCCGGATGAATCACTATAGCCCAATACATCAATACATGTCTGCTGACAATCAAATCTAATTAAAATTGGTTTAAGTCCAAAGTAAGTCCATACTTTAAATACATAACCGAGACTTAAACTCTTTTTTTTTTTGGCAAAGAACATCACATTCATTCATTGTCGCCAACTCATTTTTAGATAACAAACAAATTGAAAAAAGACAAGGAAAGAGGCTAAAACTAACTTGAAGAAATTAAAGGAAGCAAAGTTGCATGTTCAATTAGTGGGATACAGAAAAGCAAAGGATGAAGGAAAGCAAATGCATAAATCACTTGTACACAGCCTAATTTTACATAATAGACAGTCTGTCTATGAACATGACATTTGGGATATTGTTACTAGTTTTTCCGTATAATGTTTTTGTGTGTGTATAACACAAGAATAGCACATTACGGTGCCATTGTAATTAAATGAATGGTGTCCAAATCAAGACGATCGGGTGGTCAAATTTTTTGTCCATTAATTTGCTGTTTGACTTGAAATTTTTTTCTTTTGAATATCAACGATTTTAATAGTTAAGTACCCACAACTTTAGAATAGTAGTTGTTGAGTTGCCTTCTAAGCCCTATATATATGAAGTCTATTATTGCTATGGAAGTATAATAGTTGTTGCTAGCTAGTATGTAATTAGTTTCCCATTGTTTTGTACATCCACATGTCACGTTTGCAAGAAGATAGAGTGCAATATATTTGACATTTATGACGGATTATCAATCAATCAAAATAAAATACCTACTCTACAATAAATGAAATTACAAGACAGTGGTGAACAAGATTGCATCCATGAGGATTGGAATGATTTATTTCTTGGAATAATTTCATAAACCTATCCTGAGGTTTTTAACTATTTTGCTTAGTTCCCTTGACGTTTTAAAAATTATACTTACCTCCATCGATTTGACATATTGGTAACCAAAACTTAAA